TGTGTGTGTGTGTGTGTGTGTATTTGAATATATATATTTGTATATATATATATATATATATATATATATATATCTTCAATTCATAGCAATATTTACGTCCACATATACATACACTAAATAAATCATCTGTACAGAAACGTACATCTTTGTGCATGAATACATTTTTATGTGCTTGTGTGCGTGCGTACGTGTCTCCTTGTTTGATGACGTATGTACTTGTCTGCGTGCGTGCGTGTAGGTACACGTTCTTTTGCGTCTGTATGAGTGCATCTACTTGTGCCTGGGACCATGCGTTTGTGTGCGGGATTTTACCGCGCAAGAATAGCCGACGATTGACGATTGTTGGGTGACGTATTTTTCTCTACCTTGACACCACTAAAATTGATATTGTTTCACTTGTTGAATGGTAAAGTCCTTTTTAGCATCTTCACTGCCACGAGACTTAGTTCTCCGTATTTCGTATTTCGTATTTCTCCACACCAATGTTGCCATGGTTACGATTGATTGTATCACATGATCGTAGGTGTACGGTTACTCTGGGAAGGGGGTATTTAGTAATGTGCTACGCGCCAGGGATATGAAAGCGCGCAATCGCGATGTGGCCATCAAGATCATCCGCAGCAACGAGCACATGGAGAAGGCGGGTCTCAAAGAAATGGTTAGTGATCTATAAATAGTATACTATATATATATATATATATATATACTGTATATAGACTGTACACGTGTATATATAGATATATAATGCACACGTTCACCAGCTCTATGCGTTGCTGAATATCGCACAAGTCTTATTGTCTTACTCAGGCCTGTCGTTGAAAAGCGAATCTTAAGTAGAAGATTTCATATGGGACTACGATTTGTGTCATAGAGAGGGAAATAGATATGAACGAGTGTTTCATCGGTTGCCATGGGGATGCACCGAAACGCGCACTTAGAAGTGCACGCACGGGAGTGTTGATGTGCTTATGCTTGCTGCTCTACTACTCCGTGTGTGTTCTGAGAATTGTTGCCGTTTTTTATTCAATACCTGTTTTTGATATTGTTTCAGGTCTTGTATCCGTTTTTTTTGCAGCGCTCTCTGCACAATTTCCACTACCTTTGCCATCTCCATATAAGTGGCTCGAACGCCCCTGGTAGGAATACTTATTAGCAACAGTTAATACAAACAT